TTTTTTTTTTTCGTATTTGAATAATAGGATTACGATATGGATGAGTCGGTAACACCCGTAGAAGCTTTGAAGAGACTTTTGATGCAATTTACAGCCATGTCTCATCGTCGACTTGAATTAATTCTGCCCGTTCTTTTAGATAATGACATAGACGACCCAGATATTCTTTTATTAATTGAAAACGAACAATTCCTCCGCGATTTACGCGGTAAAAATGGGTCATCTCTAAGTATTGGCAACATTTTAACACTTTGGCATGGAATTCAAGAACATCGGAACGGGTCTACCGTTTACACACCAAAATCTTTTTCTTCTTGCTCTTCCTCAACTTCATCGTATTCTCCTCCCCCTTCTTCATCAAGAGCTAGTGCTGACCTTATTTCTTCTCAATTAGCCGCACCAAAAGCAAAAAGACCAAGATTGGATTTTTTAGAAAGAGAAGACCATAGAAATGTTTCTTCTGGACATGATTCTCGTTCTCATCATCACAATCATCACCACAATAATGTCGGTAACATTAAACAGAGAGTAAAAGCTCCTAAATTAAGTATGTCCACTATAGAGGAAGTTCATACACGAGTGGACTGTGTTTTATCCGTTGTATCGGCTGAAAATGAACGTCGAAAGCATGTTGCGCTTTCTCGTAACAGTAACGCTCGTCCAACAGTTAGATTTGAGGATTTCGTTGCCGAACTTAAATCATCACATAAAATCCCAGTGGCTTTTGGTACTTTACGAGACATGCGGTTTGCGTATATGCTTAAAAAATTGGATAGACAACGTTATGCTGACACTCTTACAAGAAATAGAAGCAATGTCACAGAATTCTACAGGAGCTGTCAAGAGGTTTGTGAGGAGAATTTCAAAGACGATGAATTAGAGGCAGCTTTGCCCTGGTTGGAACTCAAAGCAAAAATGTATTATAAGTAGAGGATATGTTATTTTCCTCTGTTTTCTTGCTCTCAAAGGGAAAGAAAGAAAAAAAAAAATCAATATTTTATTTAGGCATTGGGTTTCATTAAATATAATGAAAAGTCAATCAAAACAAATATTGTTATTCTTACTATTACTATTACTATTATTATTATTATTTTATATTGTTTTTTTTTCTTTACGTAGAAATTTTCTGCTTTTTTTTTTTTTCTCTAAAAAAAAAAGGACGATTTAAAAAGTATATCTTAACAGCTGTACATATAACAAAAAAAAAAAAAAAAATACCTCAAAAAAATTATTTCAAAAAAATAGTATATATATTATTATTATTATATCTATGAAGATAAAAAATATAAAGGAGGAAAGCAAGCCTTTTCTTTTTTCCCAAGACGGCGCTTCTTCTCCCGAACTTCTGTCGAAATAAAACCCAAGCAAAATTCTTCTCGGAATAGGTTGTTTTTGTATTATTAGTGGGTAGGAGTGCTTACCTTTTCTTGTAAAGTTTCTTTTGTTTATATTATAAAAAGAATTGACAAAAGATCGAGTTTACGAGAGTGAAATTTTTTATGTTAAAAAGGTTCGTTTCTCTTTTTTTTTTTTTTTTTTAAAAAAAAATTATTTTTTTTTATTTTTTTTATTTTTTTATTTTTTTTTTTTTTTAATTATTGGTTATATAAAAATATTTACGATATTATTTTATCTCAATTAAAAAGATGAAAAAAAATTAGTTTTTTTAATAAATCAAAAAAAGAAAAAAAAAATCATGATAAAAATTATTTATTAAATTTTATTTTAAAAAATGCAATATTTAAAAATAAAATAAAATGTATTTCAGAGATAGGTTAGGTGATTTTGTCGAAAAAAAAAAAAGTGTTACTAAAAAATACTCCGCCTTGTATTTATAAGTAATTTGTTAATTTGTTTGTGAAACAACTACTATTTCCGTAATCACGCAGTTTTGATGTGAATTATTATATATATATTACGCCAAATTTATAGAGCTTTTTTATCATTCAAGACATTCCGTCTTTTAAAATTTTTCGCGAATTTGAGTTTAAAACGAGTTGAATGCTTGTAATTAATTTTAAGACGACATTGTAGTGTTAAAATTTTGTATAATTTAGTTAAATTACTTTCATGAAAATATTTAAATTCCAAACTTTTATTTAATTCGAAATTATTATAATTATTCGATAATGAGTTTCGAAGACGACGAATATAGTAGCGTCTCTTGGGATACTGGGGCTACTGATTCCTTTAAGCCCGAAGATTTGCTGGACGAAGATAATGAAGAGCCCTCTCAAGATCTTGATAGTTCAACTTTTAGTGCAGTTAATAATTCTATATTTTCAGTATGTTGAATGAACCATTTTGATAATATATATATTTGGCAAATTACAATATTACAAATATTGATTTTTAAAGTGTTATCGATAGTCAACTAAGTTATTATTTGCAAGGCTGGAATTATTTTTCTTACAAAGTGAACTTTTTCATTTCTATTCTTCATTAAATTAATCAGACATTGGCACCTTCAACGATTAATCATTCCAATTCCAACGAAGAACATAAAGACAATCAACATCCTACTACAGATTCATTTGTTCCTAATATTACGGTACCCGTAGCACACGCTATGACCATAACTGTTACTGACCCGATTAAAGAACTTGATGGTACTAAGGAAGCCTTCATCTCCTATCTTATTACCACAAAGGTATTTTTATAATCGGTGCATTAAAAACTTTAGTATAACAAAGTGGTAAATTGTTAATTATCATTGATACTTAGACTACTTTAGATTCATTCACTGATCCAAAAGTGGTTGTTAGGAGAAGGTTTCAAGATTTTGTATTGTTACATAATTCTCTTAATCAAGATTTTGCCGCGTGTGTAGTTCCACCGTTACCTGATAAACATCGATTAGGTGAGGCGATTATCTTTATAATGAAGAGAAAGTTTTTTTTCTTTACTAAATTAATTATTTTTCTCTCTTTTTTTTTTTTTTTTATTTCTCTTTAGAATACATAACCGGCGATAGATTTGGACCAGAATTCGTTGAAAAACGTCGTGCAAGGTAAAAGGAACTTTAAAAAAAATTCTCACGTTTTTAATGACTTTCATGAATAATAAAATAATTTTCATTGAAAAAAAATACGCGTCAGGATAGTCTTCAAAGATTTTTAGATAGATTAGCTCGTCATCCAACCTTACAAAACAGTGAATATTTTAGAATATTCTTAGAATCAAGAGAATGGGTAATTAAAAAAAAAAAATGAATATTTTATTAATAATTAGATTTTGATTCATATATATATATATAATTTTTTTTTAGAATGCTGAATCATTATACAGGCAAAAGAAGTCTGACGGAGTTTTTGAAAATCTAGGTGATGTGCTACTTAATGCGTTTTCTAGAATTAAGAAACCTGATGAAAGATTCGTTGAGATTAAGGAAAGTGTTGATAAACTTGAAGAAAACTTGCAAACAATCGAAAGGTTATATTTTAAGATCATTAAACGACAGACAGGTAAATTACTCTCAAAGAACTTTTTTTTGCGTCGAGCTTTACTAAAAAAGATTTTTCGGATTTTAGATCTGGATGCTGATTATAGAGAATTCGGTGCTAGTATCGTTAACCTGGGACAATTGGAAACTGGGATTTCCAGGCAACTCGAGAAATTTGGAGAGGCAATTAATAAATTTTCGGATGCATGGAAGCAAATGGTTTGACATTAACCTCTCATTCTTTTGTACACCTAATAATTTTTTTTTTTTTAAAAAAAAAAAATAAAACCTTTTAACCTCCTTTGTTAGACGGATCAAGAAGATCATGAATATTTGAATCAAATTCGAGAATTTCTTTCTTATTGTCACTGTATCAAGGTTTGATTTTCTAAAAAAAATTATAAGCTTGATAGATATTAATGATCATAACAATTTACTTGAAGGAATAAAAAATTTTAATAAATTTAGAATGTTTTAAAACTTCGAGATCAGAAACAAGTTGATTTTGAAGAACTTTCAGAATATCTTCAAGGAGCTAGGACTGAGAAAGAAAATATTTTAAGTACTGGTAAAGGATCTATGGGACTTTCTTCATTTTTACGCGAAAAAGTGGATTATATTAAGAATATTGATCAAGAACAATCTAAAAAAGAGAGGATACAAAAATTAGATGCCAAGATTAATGAGGTAGTTTTTTCTTTCATTTCCTTTTCTTATTAAGCAAAAAAAAAAAGGATGGTTCAATTTTTTAAATCTATTAAATCATTTTTTAGTTGAGCAAAGAGGTTGAGAGTAGTAATGACATTTCTGAGAAATTCTCTGATGAGGTAGCCAGAGAATACGAAATATTTCAAAATGCAAAGACTGTTGAATTAAAAGAATGTTTGCTAGCTTATACCGATAGACACGTTGAATTTTATCGTCAGGTAACATATAATACATATATGTATACTTATGTGATATATTTTAAGTCTTACATAAATTTTATTCCTTTTATTCAGGGGATGCAATTATGGGAAGAGATAATTCCTATTCTAGAAGAGATTAAAAATTAAGAACGGGATGATCGTTTGGACATTATTTAATTAATTGGTAGTATTTATTGTATTTAGTGGTGGCATTGTTGTTGTTCGTTGATGATGTGTGCGTGAAATTTTCCTTTATATTGCACAATGTATATTCGTTTTTTTTTTTGTATTTATTTTATCTTATTTTATTTTTTTTTATTTCGACAATAAAATATCTTTGTATAAATATTTATGTAATACCTTTTCAAGATATAAAAATATTATTATTATTTTTTTTTTTTATTGACAAGCCTTCGCTTCAATGAGGTGAAAGGAAAAAAAAAAATATTGATGACGCCATATGGAGAAAGTAAGAAATGAAATGAGGATAAAAATTTAGAAGGGTTGATGATAGATAGGGTTAGGGTTATATATATTTAGCATCAAAAAAAAAAAAAAAAAAAAAAATAAGTAAATATGTTGTTAATTTTATTTTCGAATAAATTTTTAAAATAAAGATGGTTGAAAGAATTATTATTAAGTTGTTTAAGGACATTCAAATATTAATTAGGGTTTCCTAAAATAAAAAGTTTTACTAAAAAAACTTGATATGTCGTCCTCGTGGCTCTAGATCGTATTTCAATTCTGTTTTTTTCCTTTTTATTTTTATTTTTTTTTTTTACCAATTTAACTTGGTGCGTAATTTTTAACTTTGCGCGTTGGGACAATCCCTGGCCTATTTTAAATTATAATAAAAACGCGTAATAATTAAATATATTGATAAATTCATTATTTAATTAAAATATTTCAAATAGTAAACTTACGATGTGGCCTCGTTCTCTACAATTATAACATGTTTTTACGGACTTATCGACAGGAGCAGTAGAACAATCACGAGACTACAATTTTTTTTAAAAGAAAAGTTAGGCTATCTTCGTATTTGAAAGGCCTTTCTTTCCCCACAAAAAAAGTTTAAACTTACGATATGTCCAAATCTTCCGCAATTATAACACTTTACTCCACTAGCTCGACAATCTTTAGCAAAGTGGTTAAACCCACCGCATTGGTAACAAATAATGCGACTATGACCATGACCATGACCATGTCCGTGACCGTGACCGTGGCCATAACCATAACCACGACGACCACCTCGATGTCCTCCATAACCACCACTCCTGCATTGACGAGCCAAATGACCCTGAATGAATTTCATTATGTATTAATTAATTAATTCATACTTTCTTAATAAAAACGTAAAAGTAATAATCATAAAAAAAAAAGAAGAACTTACGAAGCGGCCACAGTTGTAACAGCGACCTCCCGATCCACCACCATTGTTAACACGGACGGAGGGGCAGTCGGCTTGAAGATGTCCAACTATAATTTAAAATAGAAAATTTGAATTAGATTCTATTAAATAGTTTGTATCGAATTAAAATATGAATTAAATCCTTACCCCCACCGCACGAGTAACATTGTTTGGATTCAGCAGTTCTGGGTTGAGGGCATTGGTTAGCTTCGTGTCCAGGTTGCTTACAGTTGTAGCATAACCTTTCTGGTTCTGGACAAGAATCGGCAAAATGACCGACTAAGGTTATATTTTAACAAAATAAACTATTCGTTAGTTTATAAATAAATAGACTGTCATAACTTATGAAGACATGAACTGAGATGAGGAGTTAGATCTCGATCAAGTTGTAAAGGTCATCGGTTTATAAGTTCAAATATATACTAACCATTACCGCACTTAAAGCAACCTCTTCGAACAAAATTCATCTTTTTCAACTCAAGTAATTAAAATAATGGTAATTATAATATAATAATAATAGTAAGGGTAATAATAAAATAATGATAATAATAATAATAAGCTAACGGGTGGAAAAGGGGAAGAAAAAAAAAATGAAATAAAATAAATTGGTTAAGTAAAAAATAAAGGGATTCCTTAAAAACTGCTACCCCTTCGTCAACTACTGATGATCTACACTAAGCAACAACTAACAACTGCTTCCGCCTTAAAAAGAGAAGGGTAATGGTGGGAGTGAGTGTCCTTCTTGATTATGAAGAACGAAGCACAAGTTAATAAAGGTATTTAAAAACATCCCTTTTATTTATATAGATGTTTAAATTTCCAGTTCAATAGTTAAAACTATTTTTTTTTTTTCACATCCTTGTGTTCCCTTTTTTTGACCTAGCAACCTAGTAAATCAAATTCGTCATATTAGTTGCATCTATTAAATTACACAGTAATAATTAAATTTATGGGGAGATGAATTATTTTATCATCGGTATTTTGATCCTTTGAAATACACAATAAACTTTATTTTGGGTTCAATTAATTTAAGAACAAAACAAATATGGTAATGAATTCTTTTGTGTGAGGTTAAAATTTTCTGACAAATCGTCGATCACCATCTCTCAATTTATTTTTGATTCGAGAATATCGGTAACGAACCGATTAAACGTTGCACACCTTTTCGAAAGGGGAAAAGAAGGCAAAAAAAGTCACTAGATCAAATCATTTGTTTAATTGTTTAATTGATGCAAAGAACAAACTGTAAATCACACCAAAGGGAACCTCCGTTATTTATCACATAATGTCACCCCCCCCTTCACTCTTTTTTAGGGTATCAAATCCTATTCGTCACGCATATATGTCACACAATGGTTTTATTTTTTTTAATAATTTCTGTCAAAAATTTTAATCATCCTCCTCTTCCTTGAATTTTTCCTCATATTCTTGAAATTTTCCAGACTTTATAGCTTCTTCAATAGGATTCACCACATTCATTACACCAGTTTTTTTAAGACGTTCAAATAAAACAAATAATTTTTCTGCTTCCCTTTCTTTTTCTTCTTCAGTCATATTTGATAAAGAAGGTAATTCGTTATCAAAATATTGACCTGTTATAGGATTAATTGATTTATCTGAATATTTAGCGGTAGTCGATGGCGGTATCATAATATTTCTATTCATTAAGAATCCTGCTGCATTTCCATAACCAACGTTATGAACAAATAAGTTTGCTATTTTAAGAAGGGGAGGATATTTAAAGAATGTTATTTAAAAGAATTTATTAATGTTAAAAAAAAACAAGATTATAACAAGTAAGACTTACCATCTTGATCGCATAAACTGAATAATAGTTCGCTGACATTATCTTTTAAGTGTGGTAACATAACAGAAGTCATCAGCCTAATCAATCTAGATGTTAAACTATCTCCTTTTTCTAAAGGTTTACTTCGATCTCTATCAAAAAAAAGGGAAAAATTCAGTTGAAAATTTTTTTTTTTAAAAAATAAAATAAAAAAAGCGAACTTTACAGTTTACTTACACGTTATCTGGCAATAATTCATTTCCTATTAAAATTTTAGCATCATTATCTTCGTCGGCTAATTTTTTAATTGAAACAACTAAAGGAGTGATGATTTCATCAAAATCCAAATTATTTTCGTTTTTACTAATAATTTCATCAGGGTCATTTTTTACAATCGTATAGACCATCGATTTTAACATATCGATTAAATTATAACAGACAACATATTGTTCTTTTTTTTCACTAGATGGAGGGAACCAGATTGATTTATATGGCTCTACTGGGAAATTTAATAATGCATGAATTGCATGTGAATGCGGAGGTGAAAGTGGTAATTGCATAGATTTTGGTATTTTTAAAAGTATTTTTAATACAGGTAAAAGTAACCTATTGAAAAAGGGTAGATTAATTAATTCCTTATTTATTTTAACAAAAAATCAAATAAAATAATTAACGCTTACTTTTCAAATTTACTAGGACACTCAACAGATTTTCCCTTTACTTGTAGATTATTATCACGTTCAATTTTTGGATCATTCATCATTAAATTAAATAATAATTTTAATTGTTCATTTAACACCATAACCCTGGTTATAGGCAACGAATTGATATCTTCACTTGAAGAATTATTTGAACTCGATAATTCTTCAACATATTTACTGATACTCTATAAAAAGAGATTAATCAGTTGAATGGATTATGAAAATTGATGAGAAAAATATTTATGTTCAAACTTACCTTAAATAAAACATCAATTATTCCTAGATCATCGATTAGGGATTGTACAGCTGGTTGTGGTCTAACAGTCATGACAAACAAGATTCTTGACAATAAAAATTGGGTTTTAATTGAAATCCCTTCATCCTATCCATAAGGAAAAATTAAGACTCTTGCTGTTTTTAATATTCACAATGCTACCCAAATATTTTACTTACCTTGAGAAATTGACATACACCCGGAACACATTTATATTTATCAAACAGTTCGCGTGTATTCTCTTCAAGCAATAACGTGTTTGCTATACATGTTAAAGATTCTTGAGTTACCGGTGTATCAGCAATTATAGATGATTTTGATCCCGATTCTGGATCTAAGAGGTTTGCATGAATTAACAATATTTTAAATCCCTAAACGTGAATTAATTAGGATTTTTCAGAATAATAACTTCAATATCGGCTTTTTTTTTGTATCATGATCACTTGTAGTACCTCATCGGAGAACAAGTTGTCACATCCCTTCGCATCGCGTCCCAGTATTTTTAGAACTTGTAAAGCTTGCAAACGAACTAGATTATAGTAATTAAGATTAAAAAAGAATTTTTTTTTTGAAATTCAAGTCAAAGTTCAAAAATACCATTATCATTCCATTTTTGTTGAACTCCAGTTTCGTCGAGATCAGTTAACAAAGAAGCAACCAACTCTGTCTTTGTATTCAACGGGATACTCGTCAACCCTAAATAAGTGACATTAAAATACCATTCGACTCTCGATACTTTAAAATAGCATTTGAAACATACCAATTTGATTTGCTAATAATGAAGTCAATATTAAAGAAATGGCTTCATTATCCGATTTGTTTTTGAGAGAAATATAAGAACTCATTATATATTTATTTTTATTGAACGAAGTAAAACGAAACTTCAGAAGACAAGCTTTTTCAGGACTATATTAAATTAATAAACTTTTTTTTTTTTTATCTTTAACAATCAATATATTAATCTTGCATGTTGAAAAAATAAATTTCTTTTATCAAGTCGAATCAAGTCGAATGGTTGTACAAATTTCTATATTTATTTATAATTCTGAGATACTCCTTTTTTTTGTTTTTTTCTTTTAATTTTTCCAGTATCTATGACTTTACCGATTTTAACCACTACTTCAACAGTTGAAAATACACCAAAATATTCAGGCAGAGCCTTCCCACTTCTTCCCAACGAAGTCAGTTTAATTATCTTTTCGTTTTTGACACATGAAGTACGTTTAAACTTGTGTAGAGTGTCTAAAGCATTTAGATCTTTAATGTACGCGCCATGTTTCTGGCAGGAAGTAGTAATTTATAACATAAAAGGTCTTGAGCTTGATAAAACCTTGGAAATCTTGAAATGCGTGCAAGCATTGGATGCTAGAGCTCTCAAAATTAATGATGTATTCGTCAAGAAATTGTTAGCTAGTTCTGCTAGAAATACTCTTAAAGGTTAAATATTAATTTTCGAATTGTAAAATAATTTTTTTTTTTCTTTTTTGATTTTAAAAATAACTAACTTACTTCATTGTAGTGTTGGACCTTTCTGTCACAAAAATTACAGATGAATCATTATCACTTATTGGAAAGAATTGTACATCGCTTGAACAATTGTTTCTAGAAGGATGCAGAAAAATATCCAATATATCACCATTAACTTCATTATGTAAATTAACAACGCTAATATTATCACATTGTATATTAATAAATGATAACTCAATTGAGTCACTTTTCTTATATCCTAATCCTCTCTTGCAAACTTTAACTAAATTAAGTATTGATGGATGTGATAAAGTAACAGACCTTGGAATTGAGTTAATTGTAACTAAATTTACCAAATTAAAATATTTAGATATTGATGGGCAAGGAATAAGTGATATTTCAATCACACAAATATTTAGAAATTGCAAGGAATTAGAATTATTAGCTGTTTCTTTTTGTGAATATTTAACTGATAAAGTATTGATTGAGATAATCGAACATTTGCAACCAAATTTTAAATTTCTAAAATTCAGAAAGGGGGATTTATTTACCGAAGCAGGGTAATTATTTTAAGGTTATTACTTATTGGTTTCATAATTATATATGATTAATTGATTTTTTCCCCCCTCTTTTTGTTTGGTAAATAGGTTTAATCATTTTTTTCAAGCATTATCGGATAGAGGACATTCGTTCCACTCGTTAGATTTATCAGAATGTGCAAATATAACGAATCTAAGTTTATCACTTCTTCGTCAATCACAATTAAAACTGATAAATTTAAATTGGTGTTGGAATGTTACAGATCCTTCATTATTTCATTTAATGTCAGGATGTCCAAATCTTCAACAAATTATGTTAACAGGTTGCAATCAAATAACGTGTGAATCATTATTAACCAAGGGTGGAGTCTTTCGAAATGACTTATCTTCATTAATGATATTAGATTTTGGGGCCTGTAGAAACATTGAACCTGATATTATTATTCGCTTTGGTCTATCTTACCCAAAATTATATATTATAGATTATTATGGTGAAGTTTATAAACAAGGTAAAAGAGTCGGTTTTAGAGATGAAGTTTTTGTTGAAGATGAAAATTTTGAATTACAAATTGGTGGTAGAGAAAAAAGGTGGGGTAAATTAAGTGTTGGGGATACTAGAAGGTTTTATAGATATTATTCTGTATAAAAAAAAAAAAAAAAAAAAAGGAAATTATTTTAAGATAATAAATTTTTATTATATTCATGAATTGATTCGGCCAAGCTTTCCGCTTCAGGTTTTGGCGAAGTAATATTTACTTTAATGTTTTTAATATTCTCTAAATATTTACTTGTAGTTTTACCTATACTAGCAATTTTAATTTTATCCCAATCTTTTAATAAATTGACTTTTAATAATTCTAATGAATTATCAACTCCGGATGGACTAAAAAAGATTATCCAATTAATTGTTTTCTTTCTTTCAACAAGGTATTCTGATATTTTATCTAATTCGGTAGAAAATGATGAATTCGGTTTGGTTTCATAAATTCTTAATTCTTTTAATAATATTCCTGATTTTGATAATTTGTTTGGTAATTCTTCTCTTCTCTTATCTCCCACAAGAAATAATAATTCTTTACCCCGGGTTGAATTAAAATATTTTATTATATAATCTGCCAATGATTCAGAATTTCCCGATTCATCAGCTCCAAGTGGATCGATCTCAAACATCTCTTTTACAGCTTTCGCAGTTGATCTACCAACGACAAAATATGGTAACGTTTTCCATTCCTCTAATACATCTATCCTTTCACCTAAGTTTATCAAACCTTTAAACCTTTAAAATCATACTCGGAAAATCCAATCTTAACAAAAAAAAAAGAAAGAAAGAAAAGATTACTAACCGGAAGAAAGTACTTGTTCCCATGCTACTTTGAGTCCTTCAACTGCCCTTTGACTAGTAACTATAACACCTCCATATTGATTATTTATTCCATTCTTTAATATATTCATTAATTCATTTATATTCACCAAAGAATGTTCGAGTACTGGTAAATATAATATTGTATAGTCTCCTAGTTCATTGAATTTTTGTTCATAAACATCTATATTTGAATCGGTTTGTATCGTTTTTTCTTTTAAAAGTAATATCGTTTGTGACATTATGTGCGAATCGAGAGAGATAAAGTATATGGAAAATGCTACCAAAAGTCGGGTTCCCTTAGAAATTTGTGTTTGGTATCAAGATATACAAACTTTAATGTTGGGTGGCATTATGAAGTCCCAGTCAGAACTATCACTAGTTCTGATCACGATTTATAGATGTATGTAAAAGTCCGAATTTTTTTAACAAAATTGTTATAATTGTAAGTGCAGAATTTTAAGTCTTCGTAATAATTTTAATTGACTACATTTTCAAAAAAAAAAAAAAAAACAACCAATAATTATATACTGAGAGATATGTTTATTCCAATAAATTAATGTTGTAAATTTGATCTTTAAAATAGTATCGTTATTAATATCTGCTTTAATCACGAATAGTTTTAATAATAGAAATAATAAATTAAAATAGCCAAGAATTTCGGACCAGAACCAAGAAAGCCGTTAATCGAATTTGTTACTTTTTATTTGCCGTTTCCACAAATCCTGGGAAGCATTCTTCCAATTTTTTACTGTGTTTATTACCGGCGTGTTCATCCAATCTAAAAGAACAAAAAGCAATTTTAAATTAAAATCTACTGTAAAATGAAAATAGAAAGAATATATTTTCCGAATCCTCGAATATACTTACGCTTTCTTCCTTACAGTACATAAGAATGTATTTCGACAAACTTGACATACTATATTCTTGGCAGCTTCGTTCTAATCAATTAAATTAATTTAAAAAAAAAAAAAATAAAAATAAAAAAATTATAAATGAATTATAAAAAATTCAAACCACTTTATTATAATTCAATTATTCTTCCAATGTAAAAAAATGTACTTTTTTTTTTATTTTTTTTTCTACATATTATTCTCGAAAAATTTTAAGATATTTTATTAATAAATATTATTATTAAATTTGTTCCTTTTGAACTTGTAACTTACCGCTTTCAATTGACTAGTTGCTCCCTTTTTTGCATCATTCTTTGCTCGTTCCCGTTTATGTTGTGCTTTTTGTCCCTAATAATCATTTGATTCTAATTTAATCGGAATACAAAATCATCTTTCTTCGATATAAAAGCATTGGGGATCATTTAAAAAAAAAAAAGGTCATATTATACAAACCAAAGCTGGAACTCACATACATTACCCATTTTGTAGTATTTTTGATCTTTTAAAAGGAAGTAACGGAAGTAAAATTTGAGTAATGAACTTTTACTTTTTTATTTTTATTATAGACGGACATGATTGACATGATTGGTGAACATCATTTTTCTAATTCATCAAAATCAGACAAACGTCATATCATTAAAGTATACCGTATTCCTCCGAAAATAAGCAATCCCCGAAAATAAGCAACCCCCAAATTAACTTAATACCCGAAAATAAGCAA